AGCTAGTGACTCAGCATCTACATTTAATGATGTAAAAAGGTTTAACGTGTAATAAATAGATTATCAACCTTTCCATTTCATTGGAGTGCAGTGAGGGCACCATTCTGTGCTTCTGAATGGCTGTAAATAGATTTCTGTCATGTTGCAAAGCCAAATTGCTTATCACTGTGATCTCGACGCGTAGCTGAGGTTTCAATGTAACAATGTAACTAGGGTTTCAATGTAACCTGCTCATCAAATGGTTATGTTTAGTAATATTTATATTATTTGCAAATTATTAACCACCTCATGTGGAACCCTGAATCTGCTTCTCATTTCAGAGTCTGCTACTGTCCACCGGAGGTTGCGTGTTTTGAGGGATCTTGAGTAGTTCTCAATGACGTGTGATATTAAATAAACAATGTCAGGTTTGCTGCACCTATGACTGGTTAACCATGGAAGACTGCACATATTTTTTTTTATTTAACGTTTAACTTCCATGTGCGAGCCAATGTATAATAAAATGCAAATGCCTTTTTTTTTTTTTTAAATAAACATGTTTTGTGAACACTTACACCGTCTGTGGATGCTCAAGATTTGCAGGTTTCAAACTGAATAACTCATATTTTTTGGCGCAAACATGCATTCACAATGTTACAAATCATTATAGGGGTGTTCAAATGTATATTGAAGTTATCTATTAATTTAATTATTAATAATATTTAAGATACAGATCAGAGCAAACAATTTCCTAACTATTAAAGGGCAGATCCTTCCAATCATCTTGTTTTGAGGTCCCTCAGGTGGGATCAAGCATTAATTAAAGGCGTCAAACCCCCTCTGTAATTCGCACCCTGCTTATAGGTATAAATGTATGCCCTCATATGTCTCACATTTCAGTCACGGACGAATGCTTTGAGAGCCTTCCTGACTGAATGAATCAAATACGCTGTTTTCCATCAAGGCAACCCGGATGCTGAAATATAATTGGCTAAACTGGAATTGGGCGGTTTAAATGACCAAAACAAACGTTCCAGCACGTAACACACATTGTCAAAGCAGAATATCTGACTTCAGCATTGCTTTCCAGATAAACAAGAATGTGCACTGAGCATGTTTCTGAAATATCTGCACACATATGACGGTGTTTTTGTGCTTTAGAAAAGTCAAAACTTACATACAGCACCTTTAACGGACTGAAAGAGCTGTAATGGGCGTGACAGACAAAGGAGACATCCATAACATGTAGTGTTGGTGATACTCTAGAAACGTGGTTGAGAAACACTGATGTAGATTAAACTCTTTCACTTTCAATTCAATTCATTTTTAATTCTTTTTTTTTTTCTTTGAGATGTGCCTGTATAATTGTGGCTTTTAGGCCCTTCCAGTGGTTTAGACTAGCATCGCTTCAATAATTGATGAAATATGAAACTAACTACAGTCTGAATACTTAAAAAGAGGAGTTAAAAGCAGGCGCTCTATAGAACTAGAGCGCTGGATCCATCAGAAATACTGCACTCACACACATCCAGTCTCCATACACACACACACACACACACACACAGATGATGACGCTTTAGAAATCAGACAATAGAGAGATGAAGGACGACAGCTACAGCTTCAGCTCTAGACTGACCTCAGATCAGTGGAGGAACATCACTCACGCATGTGTTTCATCTCCAAATCAACAGAATTAACACTAGCTTGAGTTTATCATTATTATTAGCGTAATTTGAGGCATATGTAGAGTATCATATTTTTGCTACAGCTATTTTATATGCATATAGAGGTTTGTTTTATTGTTACATGTTTATTAATTACATGAATAGATTAAAATAAGAAATTAGTTATATTAGTCATTATATACAGTTGAAATCAGCATCATTCGCCCCCCTGTTAATTTATTTCTGTTTAAAGGAGAGCAGATTTCTTCAACACATTTCCAATCATAGTAGTTTTAATAACTCATCTCAAATAACTGATTTATTGTGACGTTTAAAGGCTTAACTAGGTTAATTAGGTTAACAAGGCAGGTTAGGGTAATTAGGCAAGTTATTGTAGAACGATGGTTTGTTCTGTAGACTATCGAAAAACATAATTTTAAAGGGACTAATAATTTTGACCTTAAAATTAAAACTGCTTTTATTCTAGTTGAAATAAAACAAATAAGACTTTCTCCAGAAGAAAAATATTATCAGACATACTGTGAACATTTCCTAAATCTTTTCAACATCATTTGGGAAATATTTATAAAATAAAAAAAAATAATAAAAGAGGAGCTAATAATTCTGACTTCAACTGTATATATATATATATATATATATATATATATATATATATATATATATATATATATATATATATATATATATAAAATTAATTAATTATAACTATACATACACATAATTTTTAAGCAAATAAAACTTCAAAGTCACTATAAAACTATAAAATACTCGAGAAGCATAATGTGGAGAAAAGCTGTTGGCAATTATGTAAAAACAACATTTTTCCTGTAGAATTTTTTTTTATTATTATTAATAATGTGGTTAATAATGAATTCATAATTTGGTAAATGTGTTGTTTTTTTGGTTTAGATCAACAACTTAAAGCAAGCTCACTAATCAATTATTATAATTATTGAATTAATAATTTTAATAATAATAATAATAATAATAATAAATAATAATAATAATTATATATACATGTTTATATATATATATATATATATATATATATATATATATATATATATATATATATATATATATATATATATATATATATATATATATATATATATATATATATATATATATATATATATATATATATATATATATATATATATATATATATATATATATATATATATATATATATATATATATATATAAAAAAAAATAAATAAATATAAATATATATATATATATATATATATATATATATATATATATATATATAAATATATATATATA